AACAAAAGGCTGGGAAAGACATTCATCTTTTGTCTTTTGCCCTTCGACTGACAGGACAGATGGTTTCTGAATCTGTACATTTAAGAGGCATCTCATTAAATAAATGCTCAGATTTTTATTTCTAATTTTCCTTTTCTACAGTCTAGAGCCAGATCCAGTTTTTTACCTACCGGGGAAGTTTATCAACTGGTATTCCGGCATCTTGAGTTTCAGGCTCTGGAGCCCTGAAGTCAATAACATTAGAAAAGAATGAAAACCATTGGTGAAAAATCAAAGAACAGAGAAATAACATGACATGGCAGTTTGTGTGCTTGCTTGGTATTATACGGCACAGAACTTCTTACTCATGCATGCTGATTTAGAAGGGTCCTAGAAGGATGGACCCCCAAGTAATGGCCAGTAGATTTCCTTCTGATTCTATGTGGGGGAAACTGGGGTATACTTTGGGGCTCCATCATTGTATATACCCATCTCATTTGACTCTTTGGCAATGATATTATGCAACTATCTTCTATAAATTTGTACTGCTCTAAAATGGTTCAGAATAACTTTTCTCAATAGTGTGGGTTAACTCAATTTTTTTTCATAATTTTAACAATAATACACATTCATCACAAACATACTGGGAAATTTCCAATAATATGAAGAAGAAGTAAAAATTACCCATAATCTTTCTAATCCTGAAATTCACCAGTAACATTTTGTTTTACTTTCCCTGGTCTTGTAGTTAATGCACAGATACACAGATGTGCAGTATGGATGTGTGTAAGGGAAATCTTGGGATCACTCTGCATATATTCTGGCAGCCTACAGCTTTTACTTAACATGGTAAATTACGTCAAATATTTATTTTATTAGATGTTTATATGGTGTCTAGTCTTATTTGTCAGAAAAAACAATCCACACGAATCTTGAATGCTCAATGTCCACACATTTATGTTCAATTCAAGGTGAAAACAATATTTTTCTGCAGTACAATACCATTACCCTTTTCCTGCTAAAGCTGGACAAATTGGACTCCTGTAATTCTCAGCCACAACTCCACAAGAGGTGCATCGAGTTTTAAATAAGGTTCCTGAAAGACAGGTGTCAAACAAGTCCAGAACTTAGTGTCCTCAAGAGCAACTGTATCCATGTCTGAAAGGTCAGAAAATAATTTAGTTTTCATATGTTTATTTTAATAATAGGGTCTATCCTAGGAATCATGCATAATACAAAAGCAGGCAGTATTGTTTAACCAACCCAAAGCAAATGCCTTGAAGAACGTCTTGATCTGGAGGGGAAATAACTAGTTACATGACTAACACGCAGCCGAATGACCTTGGAGTGATGGTTCAGATGGTCAAGAAGAAAGAGGCAGTTCAACCTAAAGCTAAGGACATGATTTACTAATTAGGTACATAGCTATAAGAGGTCAGTCATTATGGAATATGCAATGAAATCTTAACTTTGATTTACTAGAACTTGAATCTCTTCTATAAAAGCAACTCATTAAATAAGCAATTAACTAATAAATAAAAAGAATTAATACTAGCAACCATTTATTGAGCTAACACAGTAATGGTGACCATAATTTATTAGGTAATTGCCATGTGCCCGAGATATGCTGTGCTATAGACTGTTTCAGTCTGCCCACTATGCCTTCTTTGGGTCTCATCCCTCCTCTACCCTATGCTGAGCTGGGGGAGCTATCAATCATAGTCTACATATAAGCTTGGCCACAGGCTCCAGACTAGTGCATTTTTAGTACACCATTCTAGCACTGGTATTTGGTCAAAAGTATGAGTTTGTGACCCAAACGAGGCAGTCCACAGGGATATTCTGAGCTATCTGTGATGGTTAATTTTGACCGTCAACTTGAAGGGATTTAGAATCACCTAGTATATATACCTCTGGGCATGTCTGTGAGGATGTTCCCAAAGAGGTTTAGCAGAGGAAGGAAGACCCTCCTTGAACGGGCTAGGGTCATGGACTGAATGAAAAAAAAAGAGTGAGTGGAACATTAGCATTCAACTCTCTGTGCTCCCTGACTGCAGGTGCAGCCCGATTGGCTGTCTCACACTCCTGATGCAACGCCTTCCCTGCCGTGATACACTTGTACCCACAAACTATGAACCCAAATGAACCCTCCCTTGATTTGTTGTACATTAGATTTTTTGCCACAGCAACAAGAAAAGTAACTAACGCACTATCTTATTAAAGGTGGTAGTTCATCTTGATTGTCAAGTTGGTTAGATTAAGGCATGACTAGAAGATTATAGAACATTGGAGTGTCTTCGAGGGCATTTCCAGATGCAATTAAATCATGTAGGCACTGGCCTAATGAAGGGTTTAATCCATTAATAATTCTACAATTTGAATAGACTATTGGGAAGTGGTAGAACTGTGGAAGGTGGGGCCTAGTTGAAGGAAGAAGATCCCTAGAGTATGTCCTTGGGAAGTGAGGGGAGGTATATCTTGTCCAGGCCACTTCCTGTTGATGCTCTGCTTCCTGTCTTCCATGATGTGAAAGTCTCCTCCTCCACATGCTCCCACTGCCTTGATGTTCTCCCTCATCAAGGACCCAGAATCAGTGGAGCCAAGATTGTGGAATAAAACCTCTGCACCCATGAGCAAAATGTCTCCTCCTTTGAAGTTGTTCCGTCAGGGATTTTGTCACAGCAACAATGAAAAATCTGACTAATATACTGAGTGAACATGAGCCTGAGAGCCACCAGATGCTTCTTCCCCTAGTCAACTGAGGGATATCAGCTGCGCAGGGAGACAGGAGGCTACTGCAGCGAGGAAACAAAGCTGAGAGAAGGGAACAGGCTGCCCCAGGGCACCTCAGTTTCTGTAGGCCACTGCATCTATCTCTGCCAGCTTTAGTGTGAACATCTTCGCCATATTGACATCTCTGAAATTCAGAGGTGTCCTACAACTGTTACTGGCCAGATGATGGATGTGACAGTGCTGTTGTGCTCATGGGCTTGTGGAAGGATGGCACTGGTCACAGAAAAGTGTGGAAAGTTGATTGTTGACTCAGTGGTCTGGCTAGACACATGAAGCCCTGGAAATTACAGCCAAAGGACCATTTAAAATGAGTCTTGATTGGGAGAGCTAAGAAAGGTCCAACCTCAACCTTACAGCATGAATCTCAGCAGCTTGGATGGAAATCATGGAGGAAACAAAAAATTAACTTGATGTGGAACTAATGAACTATGACCTCAGTATAACTTTGTTCTCTATGGTAAAAACACCGACAATTTAAATTTCCTATAATGGCCCAAAGGGCATGTATACCACCTATGCTGGAGGTCTCAGATCCACCAATATGATCACTGCCAAAGGATGACATGAAAAATCCTTTAAAAGCTTGTATAGACTTCTGGACAGGGCCTCATTTTCTCAGGAGCAGGTTAGCTCAGGCCCTTATGTAATAAAGGATAAACTTCTGCTTTCTGAGTACGATTAGAGTCTTCTCTAGTGCCAGGTCAGTCTTGGGTTAATTCCCATAATAGTAACAGAGGGATGTTCCCCTAGGTACACCACTGTGGAAAATGTAGACCTCAATACCTCCAAGTCATTCGAAAGTCACTTAGAGGAGTTAGGTGATGAGAAATAGCTTAACCATTTTAGTTCACTTGATTTTATATGTGCACAGGAATACTATCTCTAATAAAAATCTTTACATAAGCTTTAAAATTTTTATTTTTAGTTGATGCATAACTGCACACATTTTCAGGACACAGTATAGAAATTCAATTCATGTACATAAGTGCAGAAAGGCTAGGTAAGGCTACTGGTATTTCTATCCTTACATACTTCTCATTTGGGAGTGACTGGCGCTTATATATCTGTAGTTTGGAGCAACTACAGATGTGTATCACCACACTTAGCTTAGGATACATCTTAGAATCAATAGCATCTTGAATTTAATGAAATGAGGGATCTCTCTTATATTTTTACTTAAGAAGACAGTTCTCATCCACTAATGTGCACATGCATCCTTGTCTGATTCTTCAGAGAGCTCTGGAAGAGAGAGATCTTATGGCCCCTGCTTTGTGCATGACAAGGAGCATGGCCCACATGCTGACATCGCAGAGAAACAAGCAGACACATGTGAAGACGGCACACACCCAGCAGAAGCAAGTGCCGCCAGACTGGGCTAACTGTAATCAGCACCCAGTTTTCCTTATCAAGTGACCCTAAGCTAGCGGAAAGCAGGCATTTTACTGTGCACATGCAGAACAGACAACACAAGTGGCTGAGCTGCATCTGCAGCTTGTACACTAGAAAATTCACTCCTTGGGTTTGCAGCTTTGTAGACTCTAATGCTAATGGCCTTGGCCAGAAACCCTTGCCTACCCCATTATGCTCCTATGTCCCAGAGAGAAGGTGGCGGTAAAGGAAAGAGGACCACAGAGGGAACCAAGACAAACTACATGGATATTACAAACATGGTGGGCTTGTTACATGGAAGGGCCTGAGCTGACAGCTCCCTCAGGCTCCAGGGTGGGGTAGGATGGCCTCGGTGGCAGGTACACGGTGGGGACAAAGGACAAGTAAATGGATGCCCCCCAGGGCCATGTCCAACCCACCACAGTGGTCCCAGGATCCAGCCCTGTCTCCCCTCACTGGCCAGCTGTCACAGCATAACCTCCTTCCACAGAAGCCCCAGGACTGGGGGCTTATGGCTACGCAGTGTTTCTCCAGTGTACTGGAGCACTGACGCCATGCACTGGGGGCTTTTGGGAAAACGCAGGTTCTGTTTCAGTCCCAGGGGGACCTGTCTAAGCAGCACCCAGCAATATTGGTGGTTGGTTTTCAGTGGAGTCTTCCACTAGCAGGTTGCAAGTGAGTGATGCCAGTAGGCAAGGTGGTGTCTTGCTACCAGCAATTCAACTACCATGGGGCACCATGTCCCTGAGGGAAGTGCCACAGCACTCTGGGGGAAGGACATTGGTGGTAGGGGTGGAGAGGGTGTGTTTAAAGTGTTTTCCCTCACCGTGGATTTCTAGCAGGTTCTTCGTACCAGCCTTGCGGTGCAGCTCGTCGATGTTCTGGGTGATGACAACGACCCGCCGGCCCTGGTCACGCAGCCGGGCCTCACACTCAGCAATGGCCAGATGCCCAGGGTTGGGCTCCTTGCTCCGCATGACCTCCCTTCGGTAGTGGTAGAACTCCCACACTCGTGATGGGTTGCGGGCAAAGGCCTGAGGAGTTGCCAGGTCCTGTGGGGAGAGAAGCAGTCAGGGAGGGACCCATGGAGGTGGAGACTGTGGCTATGAGGCCAGGCTGAGGCCTATCAGCTCAAGGCCCAGACCAGGCAGTAACAGCCTAGATCCCAGTCCTGGGACCAACCCATGTTGTAGACAGGTTGCTCCTAACTCCCCACCAACAATGAGACAGAGGCTATGCAACCTGTCTCACCCCACAAGTAAGTTATGAGCAGGAGGGGAAGTAACATGTACCCTCCTACAGAATCTCCTCTCCCAGAGTCCCCCCAAACAGGAAGTCAATCTCACTGTGTGCTTTCTCCAGGGAAAACATGAAACACAGAATGCCCTAGAGAGATAAAGAAGTTACAACAGGAGGAAGCTCAGTTTGTAGGACTAGAGCTGGGCTCACACCTAGACACAACTGAACACAGCAGTGGAAGTGCACATCACACCACACACATACATGCACCTACACATGAACTATACATATGTACAGGCATAGACACACAACTGTACATACAGCTACCTGTATTTACACATAAACCACACACATACATGTACACATACAACTGTACACAATATACACAGCTACATTATTTAATGTGAAAACTATACATAAATGTATACATACAACTACATGCACTTATACAATTATGTATACTTACACATAAGCTATATATATGCATATACATAATGGCATACACTCATAGTTACATGTACTTACATGCAAACCACACATATATGCATGTGTGCATACACACATACACATGTATACAGCTATGTCTTATTTATGTAAAATCTATACATAGATATATGTATACACACAACTTCATGTATTTAGCTACATGTACTTACATACAGGTATGCATACATATAACTACACATATACTATACTGTTACATGTACTTACATGCAAATAACTCTACACTACAGCTATATGTACTAACATACAAATTACATATATACATATACACACAATTATGCAATATATCCAACTATACACATATAGTACGTGAACTTACAAGTTATACATATGTACATGCATGTGCACAAATATTCAGCTATATGTGAACAAATAGGTTCACATGTTCATACAACCACATAGATGCAGTTACATGTACTTACATACAAACCACATATATACACAAACTTATAGATATATAAGATATAAACATATATAGATACTTATAGCTACTTACGAGCTTCACAAATATATATACATATGCATGCATATATACAGCTACATATACTTAGAAGCTACACATATACATGCATATACACACAGTGACACACATCCACCAACAATGAGACAGAGGCTATGCAACCTGTCTCACCCCACAAGTAAGTTATGAGCAGGAGGGGAAGTAACATGTACCCTCCTACAGAATCTCCTCTCCCAGAGTCCCCCCAAACAGGAAGTCAATCTCACTGTGTGCTTTCTCCAGGGAAAACATGAAACACAGAATGCCCTAGAGAGATAAAGAAGTTACAACAGGAGGAAGCTCAGTTTGTAGGACTAGAGCTGGGCTCACACCTAGACACAACTGAACACAGCAGTGGAAGTGCACATCACAGCACACACATACATGCACCTACACATGAACTATACATATGTACAGGCATAGACACACAACTATAATGAAATTCCTAGAAGTGAATTGTTAGCTAAAAAAAATGCAATCTTTTCATATCTAGAAGATAAAGAAAGTGACTGCTTACTCAAATTTGTGATCTTGGGCTGAGAATGTGCCTCAGCGGAGTTTGATTCCCAATGTTGTCCTTCTGCCCCACAAACTGCCATTTTATATGTGTGTAGTGTGGTGGAGGGTGTGTGTGTGTGTGTGTGTGTGTGTGTGTGTGTGTGTGTGTGTGTAGTGTATCATGGTGTGTATGTGTGGTACATACACATGAATGTGTAGGTGTGCACGTCTGTCCATGTGAATGCAGAAACCAGAGGAGGACATTGGGGGTATTCCCGTCACTCTCTGCCTTACGCCCTTGAGACAGTCTCTCACTGAACTGGAAGCACATGGCTGGCCAGCAAGCATCCTCCTGCACCCCTGTGCACGTACCCCCAGGATCCCGTCTCTACCTCCCAATGCTGCGGTTACAGGCATACACAACTATGGATGCTGGGATTCAAACTTAGGTCCTCACGCTTGCAAAGCAAGCACTCTTACCAGCTGAACCCATCTCCACGGCCCCAAATTTGCTACCTTAGCAGCACAGACACTGTGATGGCACCCAAACCAAGAGGACAAAATGATCACTGCCAATTTCAAAGCATTTCCCCTTGTTTCAAGCATCGGGATGGATTCTGAGTCAAACTCTGTTATAGCTCCATTCAGAAAATCCTTTAAGTATTCTAGAATCATTACTAACCTGAGCTTGCCATTTTCTCCAATAACCTCCAGCTCCTCTGAAAGTTGGAACCCCACTCTCAGCACTTACACCAGCCCCTGAGATGATGGCTATGTGCTTTGCATTTGCAAAACACTTGCGAAAATCTGCCATATCTAAACAGAAAATAAGATCTGTGTCAATCCAGTACACCCTTGGATGTTTCTATCCCACATCAGTTGTCTATAGTTTGAAATTTGACCTTGAATGAAATTATAATGTATAGTTATTCTAATAAAAACATTCCTTGGGTTTCAGAGATGTTTTAGTGGTTAACAGCACATACTGCTTTTGCAGAGGACTGGGGTTCGGTTCCCAGAGCCCATATCAAGTGGCTCTTCTCCAGTGTACTGGAGCACTGACGCCATGCACTGGGGGCTTTTGGGAAAACGCAGGTTCTGTTTCAGTCCCAGGGGGACCTGTCTAAGCAGCACCCAGCGATATTGGTGGTTGGTTTTCAATGGAGTCTTCCACTAGCAGGTTGCAAGTGAGTGATGCCAGTAGGCAAGGTGATGTCTTGCTACCAGCAATTCAACTACCATGGGGCACCGTGTCCCTGAGGGAAGTGCCACAGCACTCTGGGGGAAGGACATTGGTGGTGGGGGTGGAGAGGGTGTGTTTAAAGTGTTTTCCCTCACCGTGGATTTCTAGCAAATATTGGTGGTTGGTTTTCAGTGGAGTCTTCCACTAGCAGGTTGCAAGTGAGTGATGCCAGTAGGCAAGGTGGTGTCTTGCTACCAGCAATTCAACTACCATGGGGCACCATGTCCCTGAGGGAAGTGCCACAGCACTCTGGGGGAAGGACATTGGTGGTAGGGGTGGAGAGGGTGTGTTTAAAGTGTTTTCCCTCACCGTGGATTTCTAGCAGGTTCTTCGTACCAGCCTTGCGGTGCAGCTCGTCGATGTTCTGGGTGATGACAACGACCCGCCGGCCCTGGTCACGCAGCCGGGCCTCACACTCAGCAATGGCCAGATGCCCAGGGTTGGGCTCCTTGCTCCGCATGACCTCCCTTCGGTAGTGGTAGAACTCCCACACTCGTGATGGGTTGCGGGCAAAGGCCTGAGGAGTTGCCAGGTCCTGTGGGGAGAGAAGCAGTCAGGGAGGGACCCATGGAGGTGGAGACTGTGGCTATGAGGCCAGGCTGAGGCCTATCAGCTCAAGGCCCAGACCAGGCAGTAACAGCCTAGATCCCAGTCCTGGGACCAACCCATGTTGTAGACAGGTTGCTCCTAACTCCCCACCAACAATGAGACAGAGGCTATGCAACCTGTCTCACCCCACAAGTAAGTTATGAGCAGGAGGGGAAGTAACATGTACCCTCCTACAGAATCTCCTCTCCCAGAGTCCCCCCAAACAGGAAGTCAATCTCACTGTGTGCTTTCTCCAGGAAAAACATGAAACACAGAATGCCCTAGAGAGATAAAGAAGTTACAACAGGAGGAAGCTCAGTTTGTAGGACTAGAGCTGGGCTCACACCTAGACACAACTGAACACAGCAGTGGAAGTGCACATCACACCACACACATACATGCACCTACACATGAACTATACATATGTACAGGCATAGACACACAACTGTACATACAGCTACCTGTATTTACACATAAACCACACACATACATGTACACATACAACTGTACACAATATAC